TCTGGTGCGAGTGTAGAGACATCGCAGCTGATATGCACACAGCAAGCGAAGGTGACCAAACTGCCTGCGCCAACCCACGTCAGTCGCTTCTTGTGATTTCCCACTTTTCTTTTTTTAGCCTACTTTTTTTTTTTACTCTAACTGTCCCTTCAGTCACCGTACCCCTGCAAGTGCACGCTTTTGTGCACCCCTCGAGATCACAAGCAGATACCACTGTTGTAGTTAAACGATTGCGAGAAAAGATAGTCACAAAGCATTTTTATGGCGTGCGCAGGCGGGCCGGGGACAGCTTGCAGAAGATAGTGTCATCAACCACCGAAGATGAGTAAAGTGCTACAAACAAGCTGTTTCCAAACAGTATACACGTACGTAAATTGCGAAAGGCTAAGCGACCTTGTTTTTTTGTATTACCGCATTTTTTCCTTCTCCCAAAAAAGTTTCTATAAAGTTTACCCCGCGTAATAAACACACCACCAACATTGCTCCAATTTTTCCATAAAAAAAGTGCGTTCATTAGGCGAGTAAATACGGTATACTATGCGAATTCAATTCGAAATTATTCGACCGATATCCCTATTCCCACAAGCCTTGTTTTAGTGCATTTAAGTAAATAAAACTTTTTTAATGTGATGCACTATCAAGCAGGGAACCAGAGGTGCATGGCCCCAACAGGATATGGACGAGATGCATTATTGCTGTGCTACACAAGATGCATCACACAGGAACGTTGCTGGAGCCAATGTTTTAGGCATTAGAGTTTGTCTTCATCAGGGCAACAAGTGCTGATCTTAGCAGTGTTTCTAAAAATTGGTAAGCAGCAAAAACTTCATTTCATCAGCATTGGGCATGGCTTTTTCAGGCAAGCCCGATGGCCACCTTCTGAGCTCTTTCGCGAACTTGTAGTTGGATGTCTGGGCTAGAACAGAATAGCACTGCCCTTCAAGGAAGGCTTCTCCTTCTGACAGCCCCCATATTACATAACTTACCACAGCATCTAGTGAGTGGGCTTACTAGGCATATGAGTACATGTATGCGTGGAATTTGGTAGGAGTTGATTTGCAGTTGCTGCCATCAGTGGGGGATCAGAGCAAGCACACCTATCCCTCTCGTTCCACATAGATGGTAGAGAAGAGTTAATTTAGAATACGTCTAAGGAAAGCAGGGACAAGCCTCCTTGTCAAAGCATCATTTCCAGCAACAGTTCTTGTTAGAGAACTTCTTGTGTCAATCCCCTATCTTTACCAGAAATCTCGTTTCGTTAACTCAAATCGAACCAAGAACTGAGGCTACTTGAGACTCAGAGGTTTCTGAGACTCTGGAGACTTGGTTTGCAGACAGGCTGTGAACAGCCATTTCATGGCACACCACTAGCTTATCTGTGACAACGAATGAGCCAGTATCGTATTCATGCCCAGGCATAAAAAGCAAACAGGCTTCTCTTTTGGACGCACAAGGTAGCAAAGTGATGAGCAATACCAGGCCAGTTGGTGTTGCATAACGAAGGGAAATGACAGTGCTTATATGATGTGAACAGAGAAGGAACAATATATTATGAGTGTACTGTGAGCTGTTTTATCTCTGTCCATGATGTTTAACTGCTGTTTCTTCCTTTCGTTATGCAACACCAACTGAAAAATTAATGAAGTGGTTTTGGCACAACGTCTAACAGGGAGTTCCAGCAGAGTTGTAGCATACTTGAGTGACACAATCACATTAAGGCCAGGGAAAGCACAGGGGCCATTATTGTTGTGTTTAACTGTGATGTGAACTGAAATGAATCAATGTGGATGAAAAATCACCCTTTCCTTCGGTTGGATCTGAACCCGTCGAATAAGATATCCCAAGCTCTACTAACCGAGCTACGCAGGAAGGTACTTATCCCTGGTAGCCAGCAATTCTTTTGTACGAAAGGCCTCTGTGGCTAGCCGTGATCTTTGCACAAAGCAGCAGCTGACAATTAAAGCCTCCATGCTGGTAGCCTAAGCTCAAGAAGGGCAAGCTTCTCATAGGGCTCATTTACTGTTGATACAGCAAGTCAGTGATGTCTTTTAATACAGCTGAATTCAACCACAATCAATATGCTGGGAAGAAGTTTTATCCAGAGCTCTGCAAGCAGCACAATTTTGGATGTGAAACGAATTGAAATATTAAAGTATAAGTGCAAAAAGAATTGAATAGTGGTTGAACATTTGTTTAACATTTTTTAATACTTCAAAGTGAAAACTATAGAAACAAGGTTGCAGAGGATGCCTAAGAACATTCTTATGAAAAATGAACACGCAAGTGTTTTTTTTTTTTTTGGCTAGGTTGGTAAAGTGCTGTGTGGATGGTGTTCTCTAGTTCTTTATCAATGATGAGGCTATGCAGAGACCGAATTATATTTATTTACATAATTTAGTACAACCAATCTGGTGTCAACAAGACTTTTCACATAATCGAAGAAGACTGAATCTTCCATGTCTCCCTCTTCAACTTCCGTAGAAGTCCAACTAATTTGGCAGACAAGGGTGTGCTCCTTTCAAATTTAGAGTTGCTAATCTGCCCAGAAGATGCATTTCAATGCATAAAAATATCTGATATTTCACATGCTGCAAATCTTCATCAAATATTTTGGGCTTTTTAGTTCGAAACAGATCTAATTAAAGCCCCCACCTATATCCCATAGGTTCAAAACAGTGCTTTTGTGGGTCTATCCGCAATACCAATTTGTAATGTGGCGATGATTATTAATAATATGAAAGTGCCAGGCCAGTGTAACGCCGCAGTGCATCTCCATGTTAGAATAGACACTTTCTCGAGTTAATACATTTGCTACTACAGCAGTCTGAAGGAGCCATTGCCAATTGGACGATAACTGTGTTTGTCTTTGGAAAGTTCAAATAGTCAAAAATCCAGTGCGAATCAAATAGCAAACAATATTTCAAAAATATGCACAAGTTCAAATATTCTCACACCCCTAGTTTTATCACTCAATCACACTTTAACTTGGAGCAGAAAATTTAAGGTAGCTGTTAAGAAACGACTTACCTCCAAATACAATCCTGCTCGACCAACATACAAGTCGACTATAGGTTGTGCTGAATACACAACACGAATGGAATCATTCCCCATTGGCAAGTAACTTCGATCATAGTACATCTATCAAGAATGCCATTATTAAAACATCTAGTTCCATTCACCTTGGCAATGCCATAGTACACTCAAATCTCGTTATAACGAAGTTGAAAGGGGAGCCAGAATTATTTCGCTATATCCATTATTTTGTTATATCAATTATAACAGTTTGTGGCAATGTATGTTCAGACGGGCGCACACCTATAAGCACGCAAAAAGGAAACAGCCTCGCGGCCTGATGTACCGCTACGCTACCACGCGAGCGACGGAAAATACACTGTCGAACCTCCTTAATTTGAACACGCTTAATTCGAACTTCCACTTCATTTGAACTCATGCTGAGGTCCCGTCAAAGCTATGTGTATTCCAATAGGCGAAAACGCCCTGTAATTCGAACGCGCAAGCACTTTCGATGGTTAATTCGAACATACCACACTCCGAAAATACTCTCAGCACCATGCCCAATCCCGCGGCAGCAACTCTCAACACCGCGGGCGAAGAAAGAAAAGAAGAAAAGGAAAGAAAAGACTGTGGCGGAATGTTTGCTCTCTCTCAAATGCCGATCTGCGCCGCGCCTGTGCCACGCTTCTCCCTTTTCTCTCTCTGCACGTAGAGACCCTTCTTTCAAGGCCGCGCGCGGAGAGTCCTCCTTTCTAGGTGCAGAGGGTAGCAACGGAGACGCAGTCGTTGCCGCCATCTTTAAGGCACAAAAAGGAACATCGCCTTGCACTGCGGCGTCACTTCTCGGTCATGTGACCTGCTGAGCGCTTCCTAAATCCTCTCCGCTAGCTGTGTGAGGAGGACGGCTCTCTCAGCCGCCCCTGGCGTGGCTGTAAGATCGATACGATAGTTTTGAAAGAGCCGCGCCCAACGAGCGTCAAACTCCACAGAAAACCATATACTTAACACACCACGACCGTTTTTTTATAGGCTATTCGATAGACTAATTTAGTTCATTATATTCATTTTTCATCTACCGGTCAATAATACTTCGTTACAACAAAGTTTAAAATGCATGGTTCTCAATGAAGCTTTCAAGGGGAATTTCATTTACTTTGTTATATTCATTATTTCATTATATCCCGTTACGTTTTAACGAGGTTTGAGTGTAGCATATATGGTGGTGCTTTAGTAAATGATTAAGCACACCAAATAATAAACACACTTTGGATTCCACAGTTACTACAATTATGTAGTAGTGGGTAAAACTTGAGTTCTTCAATCATACAAGTTGAGAAACTCCCCCTAACCCCCCCGTATCAGAGTCCGTACTCGTCATCGGCCGAAGTCACGGGGGCCTGCTAATTGTAGTGTCGTCTGTTGCCCAAAAAGCAAACGAATAAATGCACGACAATGCCAGCTCTATGTGCGGCAGCTTGCAAAAGGCATGGCAGCACTGCTGTCATTTGGTATGTTGTATTGCTGCTCTCAGATAGCATGACAGTTTGCAGGCCCCCAAAAATTGGGCGTGTCCAAGTTTCAGGATGCAGTTTTGCAACTGGTACGATTGAAGAAATGACTGGCATCAAATGTAAAAAAACTCAGCATGGTGGCAATGCGCTTTTAAAACAAGATGCAACAAGAGAAGCTGCAAGCAGAAGAAGAAAAGCAGCACCTTCGGAGGCCCCCGTGCCTAGACTCTGGAAGAGAAGAGACGAGAAAGTGCAGCAAAAAGGGTCAAGCAGAGGAAGTTTTGTGCAGAGACAACAAGCGTGACAGGAGAGCAGAAGCAGTGGGCCAGGACGTAGATCCAGCCATGGAGGAGAGACATGAAAAGCAGTGAGGAGATAGAGAAGCAGTCAGCGGCAGAAGGGGTGCATGATGACCCTCAGGCTGACAGGGCACGCAGAAGAGAGAGAAGCGAGAAGCATGGATGAGAATCTCACTTTTGGATCCAGGATTGTTTTTCTGCGTCGGCGAACTTGGCTCCACCTCTGAAATATGGGCCACAAGGAATGTTAGTCGGCGGAAACAACAATGGCTGCAACACCTGCAGTGGCAGCAGCGACAAAAGTGGATAATCTAAGTTTCAATCTGCACATTACATGTGGCAATCCTTGCAACACATTGCACAACCAACCACCACAAACTCCTGGTAGACACCCAGACTCTGACACTCCATATAAATGACTAGTTCTAGCTTTAGTGTTTACCACTTTAATCAATAATGTTTTCAAAATAATCCCGAAAACTTTGCCACATGAGTTTTTGCGAATGAGACATATGGAGCCGTTGTTTTTCTTTCCTGCATAAAAATAATCATCTTCCTCACACTACGCAATGTTGCTTCTCGGTGAAAGAGGTACTGAGGACTTTTATTAAAGTAGTGGAATGCTTTCAACGCCTAAAAGCACAATCTAATAAGCAATGCACATTAAAAATATCTATTTCAATATGTTAAATGGTTCTGCAACACTTTTTGAGCATAGTCAGAAAACACTGCCGATCGGTAGTAGAGGCTCCCAAGAACACGGAAGCTAAAAATATAGCACAGCGCATTGCCAGGAATTCACAATAAATGATCAAAGCGAGCTGAAAACTGCTTTCTCGTTTCTAAACAAATGTAGAAGACTCTCAAAAATCACTCGTAGAAAGCCCATCTATCAGCCATTGGCTGATTTGAACATGACGCGCTCAATCGTTAAGAGATCACCGCGGGAGGCCGCGACTTGTGTGCATGCGCTATCACACTGAAAAAGCTGCGCATTGAAAGAAAAAAGAAAATAAAAAGTGCTCAAGGTCACGAGGCGCTGCTGACGTATTTTCTTTGCCCCTACCATCCCTTCCTGCTTAGCTTCCAGCAATTTTGTAGGGACAAGAGAAGAGAGAATGCAATTGCAGCATGCGACAAATCTTTGCAACTCCGCTCCCGTTGAATGGATTCTTCAAATTCTTGCGGCGTTGAATTCCTGAGGCAACAAACTTTTCCAGTAAATTCATTCCCTGGTTACTTGAAAAAGTGTTTCAGACCCCCTTAAGGTGAGGTGCAGTTATCAGCAAACATGAATTGCCCTTTAACCCCTTTACAGCTTTTTCTTCAATACTTGGCACAACAGAGGTTATTGTGACGAATATGTGCCCACAATATTTCACCACAGAAAGCTACCATTGGGTGTAGTTTAAACTTATTTTTGTAAACATCCTCTACTTATGGGCTCATATTCACGCAGGCATCTGATGCCAGAGCTGTTCGTCAGAGAAAGCTTCATCCAATCATGAGGCTGGACATATCGCCAACAAAGCTAACTAGCAAATAGAAAAGATGCAGCATACATAAAAAGTAAACAGTGATAATTCTACTGCTGGCCCCTACAACACCCACAACACCCTAAATTCAAAGGCTAGCCTAGAACTTGTGGTTGAGTTTTTACACACTTATATGTGCAAATGTGAGCTCTGTCTCTCAAGCTGTTGTGCTAAATGATCCTTTCATCATCCTTTTTAGCAGTATATATTCTTGCCACTCTGTCAAATAAAGTTAGTTGGATCAGCGCTCTTTCTGTCTACCCTGTCCTTTTTCCTTTGTTCGCGCGCTGAAACATCGTGCAAATATGACTACGCACCAACTAGCCCAAGTTTCCACTCTTGTGCTAAATGAGTTGTTCAAAGAAAGTGCAGAAACTTCTCCATGAATAAACTTGCACAGTGAGCCACACCATTGCTCAGTCATGTTGGGGATGTGGCTTTCAGTGACGACTTTCTTGTTTGTTGATGAATGTTGATGAAATTTGGTACAAAGATTAAGACTGCCTCTCCGACGCCCCCCTTTATAAAGCTTTCAAAGTTATCTATCAAAACTGTTTTGTGCCATATTATTTCTTCATGGAACCTGAAGGAACAACTTGGTGATTTACAAAATGAAATTAGAATGTTTGTTGAACATTGGTATACAACAAAATTCATATAGATGTGACATCAATTTAATCATTTTTCCTTAACACACGGATATTTGGTTCATGCTTTCTGTTGTGCGGCTGCATGAGCTCACTAACACCATCAACAAGGAACACCATAAAGAATTATTAGAATACTAGAATAAAAAATTAAGCATGTTGCAACTTTCAGTGTGTTTTAAAGAACCTTACATAACAAATGCAATCAAAACATATGACGTTGTAAAAAAGACCTCTGCTCTAAAGCACAGTAACATGTCAAAAACACAGTATTAAGGAAACTTCCTTTAAAAGCCCACCTTCTTTTTACATCTCTAATATGCACAAAGATTGCTCTGCTTTAGAATATCTGATTTCAAAGACATGTCACCTCTTAACAGGTGCACCTCTGATACTCGTCTTTTTTTTTTTCCTCTCTATATCCCCCTTTCCTGATATATGTAAACATGTTGTATGAATCACGAATCAAGTTCTGTGTTTAAAGAATTACTATGACAGACATCACGATAAAGAGAGACTTTACTCTAATAAGGCTATACTATACTGAGATACTTAGCCAGCTTTCCTGTATTAACCTCACAGTAGCATAACAATCTGGCTTCCAATAGTTTATTGAATCATTTTTATAGGATGCTAAGAAAGTTTAGCTCTCACAGTGGCAGCCTATGAATGTATGGTGCAAATAAGTGAAATAACTGACAGGGTTATTCGCGAGGAAAACACCTCGAAAAAAGCCACAGTTATGACCAGGACATCATAGGCACAAAAATTTCTGAGTAGGTTATCTAAGATCACTTATAGATATTAAAAAGTTGTCCCTCTTATTCATACAAACCCACTTATCAACTTGTGTCATGAAAGCTATTCTGTGAAGCTTTCATTCTCTTGATACATTCATAAAAGCTGACCCCGATACTAAGCGTGGCTACATGGGCATTTTAATTTCATCACCAGCTCTCACTGACGGCCCTTTGTTTGACCATAAAGTGTTCAGCCACGGGGTACGAGAAGCCAATACTCGATGTGCTGGGTGGTGCATTTGGCGCTGATGCGCGCAACCCTTAGCCACAGTGACAAAAAGTCAGTGTACAGTGAGCTTGGCTTCGCATTTCGGCATGCATGAAATTGCTAGCTTTAAACAGTTGGTGCAAAAGGGCTTGGTCGTAGAGACATGGAAAGCCAATGCTCAAAATACTGGAGCTGGTGGGCTACATGCTTTATTGCTTGTGATAAAACACATGCATGAAATACAGTGCATATCCACTAAGGCAATATTCTTGCATGCCAAGTTCAGCCCATCCTATGCATTGGCCTTGTCAGTAGTGCTAGGCATAGTCACAACTACGAGCAGTAAATGTGTGATGTGCATAATCACGATGTCCAATATGATGACCTTGTCATCACATCGCTGATATTGCCATCAGAGATAGTGATGAGTAAAATCTAGCAAATTAATACAATGCACCAGCCAGTCCGAGCTTTTGTGATGGCCGCTAGGACAATTGTGGTGCTTTTATAATATGATCATTAAGCTTCCACTCACAGCTGCCAAACCCAAGTGCAATTTTATTCTACATGATCATCGATCTGCGGCCACAGAATAAGTGCAAACAAGTTACTAAGTAAACTTAAAATGTGATCTAATTGAACTCCATCTTACAAAGTTTTCGTCAGAACGAACATTATGCCATGAACAGTTGTTTGCAACATAGCGTAACATGACTCGTGCCACTGCCTAGCCATGTGACATTTTGTTCTTACTTGGCACTAATCACATGTGTATAGTTGTGGCATGAAATTTCTTTTCGTCCTCTGACATTCTATTGCCACGTGACACTACAGGTCTTCCCGCTCCCTTTTTTCCCATTGCCAGCCTAAATAATCCCCACGACATTGAAATAATCTGGGCACCACACTATTTAATCCATGTTCCGAACATTTAGTCCAAGCGCCTACATACTCAATCCAAGTTCCTACTCAATTAGGCCTTGAGTTTAATCGAATCCAATGAGTTTAATCGAAGTGCCACAAGGCTTACTCCATTTGCCAACAGCTTTTATTCAAGTGCTATTCAGTTTAATCCATGCACAAAAAGCAGAAATACGGTGCGTAAAAATGGCAGTACAATTGAATCGCAGTTCCTACAATATAAAGAAAATAGCCGGAAACTAACACAGAGAAAGCGATATGATAAGCATGCGCAGCAGTTGTCCTTGGGCCTAACTCTCTTTTTCGTATGTGTTTCTTAAAGCAACATTATGCCTCTCACCGCAGATTGGAAGCTTGTGAATTCACCACAATCACTGAATAATTTGTCCACTGTCTCTCTCTAGATATGTATGTATGTATGTGTATATATATATATATATATATATATATATATATATATATATATATATACACGTAGATTATAAAGAGCCTGGCATCGGTTGCCGTAGAATTAAGAGAAAATAAGTATATGCCTCTGAAAAACTGTTCATTGATGACGTTTCGATCGGAGACCGATCTTCATCAGACAAAATTTTTTAGGCTCCGACGCGCTTTTATGCCATCGTCCAGCCGAGAGAGAGAGAGAGAAAAAAGAGAGAGAGAAAAAGAAAGATATACATATACTAGTGGCCCAACTACCCATCATGCACTGATAAGCAGCCAAACGGCCACGTGTGCGTACTACGCATAGCATGTGCATTAAAAAAAAAACGCACCTGGGCCAGTGGCAATACCACCCATTATACACTAAGTAGTCAAACGACCACGTGTGCGTACTACCAATGGCAGGTGCATTTTGTAAAAAAAAAAATCAAAAACGAGTGGTCAAACAACATACAATCACGGCAAGTTTTTTGGTTCAGGTGGCTAAATTAAGCGAATTCCACTGATAAAAAGTTTGACTCCTCAGATTCACCTCTCATCAGCTTTCCCCGTAGCTTGTAAATAATACCAAAGCACATTCCTTGCGATTATTGTCGCTATCGCGTTCCACCTGTTCTCCCCCTCCATAGTTGCTCTTGAAGCCTGGTGAGGAGGGCTACGTCAAAACA